CATAAATATTTTGTCTGAATCCTAATTTTATGTCATTTTAATGAGGAATTTTTGATGTCCTAAAGAGGAAACCTCAAACTATATTTGAATATTGAGATTTACCAGATAAAAAGAAACAAAACTTTACTAACTCACAGGGAAAATCTTAAAATTTTAAGGCGTTTTTCCTCAAAATCAGTTTTTTGTTCTCAAAAAAGTGCTTCCTAATTTTATTTTATTATTATTATTATTTTTATTATTTTTCTGGTGAATGCAATGCTCTTCCATAGCAGTCTGATGTTCTCAAACAAATCAACAAGTTGCACTCTGACAGTGGGATCAAGCCGGGTTTGATCAACCTGTTTCTGCTGATTAATGACTGACCTTACCTGTTTTTCTCCTTCCTCGTCAGGTGGACGTTACAGGAAAGACTGACTGGGATCTGGGCGTGGCCAGTCGGTCCGTTAATCGAAAGGGTAAAATCACTGTCAGCCCCGCTCACGGTTACTGGTTCCTGAGTCTGCGGGATCGGACCGACTTCGCCTTCCGGACAGAACCCTCGACCAGCCTGACAGTCAGCATCAGACCCTGTCGGGTTGGGATCTACGTGGACTGTGATAAGGGCCTGGTGTCCTTCTACAARGTGGAGGCCAAGCTGCTCATCTTTACTTTCACAGGTAGTTTTCCAGACACCATCCACCCATTCTTCAGCCCCTGTACCAATAAATCAGGACAGAACGAGGCTCCGTTAACCATCTGCCCCGTTGCAATGGCAGATTGAAATGAGCCGTTTGTTTCACATGTGGAACACTGGGTCAAGGTTAACCCTCGAACCCTGACCCCCAATCCCTCACCTTATGGTGTCAGCAGCAGAAAATGCTTCTTCTACAGGTCCTTCTCAAAAAATTAGCATATTGTGATAAAGTTCATTATTTTCTGTAATGTACTGATAAACATTAAACTTTCATATATTTTAGATTCATTGCACACCAACTGAAGTAGTTCAAGCATTTTATTGTTTTAATAACTATACTATATTATCTCTAAATGCACACACAGTTACTTCATTACACAATATTAATAATCACGTGTAAAGACAGACTGGGTGAAGAGTTGTCGAAGGTATTTGAGGATGTCAGCTCGGACTTCAGYTACGTCGACAAGCTAACCTATTGGTCTGTTAAATATTTAGGATTATTCCAAACTCCATGAAACAGACTTTCTCAGGAGAATTAAACAGTTTGTTGAGTTTAAAATGCTAAACAGCAGAATTAAACATATAGATTTGAGGGAAGAATTTTTTTTTTATTTTGATTGTTTAATATTGACCAAAACCTCAATATAATATAAAGTCAGTCTAGTGAATAGTTTGTTTCAGTATATTTTATGAAGTCAAGTTTTTAATTTTGTTCCTGATCCCAATATGAGTAATTTAAATCTAAAGATTAGTTGATACTAAGTTTCAATCAGTGCTCGGGTTATTTTGCTTTTCTTTTCAGCATAGACATGCAGATCACATGAACTTTTGTGACCCATCATAACAAAATGAGGATTAAGTCAAATTGGGTCAAAATGACCTCATTACATTTTCAGATTCTTGGCTTTAAAA